AAGTATTACCTCATACCAAACATAATTTTAAAATCTTATTTCCAATGCCATCCCTTGAAATTGAGGCTTGCGTCCCAAGCAGGCCTCATTTCTTGGAGTCTCAAATACCGTGTCTTGGAACAACCCTCCAAGCATAGGCTCAAAATGACAATGTTCTGCTTAATAAAAACTTCAATGATATTAAAGGAGGAAATTAACTGAAATACATTTAGGTAGTGTCATTACAACCGCAAAACCTCGTTCTCCATACAGCTCGTTCCACTGCTTCAGCTCATGCATTATTGCTCCGTCAGCATCAAAACTTGCAGGAACCTACATCAAAATAGGTTATTAGGCTTTTATGAAGATGCTATAGTAAAATAATCAGCCCCCCTATCGTCCGTAAATATCCATTCATAGTAAATGTTTTCCATAAGGTACAAGAGAAGAACCCCACACACTTATAGGTCTAAATCAAGAAAAACAAGTCATTTATGTAAATTGTAAAGTGTTTTAAGTTAACCCTACCTGGTCTTAGCCTGAATCATGTCTTCCATGTTTATAGGCCTTAAGGTAATTTTTGGATCCACTTTATCCTCGTTAGCACTTGAAGCAGCTTCTAAGCTTTGTTCTTCAGCCTCTTTCTTATTCTTTTCCTAAATTAAGATAAAATTTATGCTAGTCAGCTAAAAGACAATGGTTATTAAGTCGAGAAGGCACATTGAGATGATGTCACAAGTCAAGGAAATTACATGCTCTTCCTTATCCTTTTTGGTACTTGAAGTAGCTTCTGAACTTTGTTCTCCAGCCTCTTTCTTATTCTTTTCCTAAATTAAGATAAAATTTATGCTAGTCAGCTAAAAGACAATGGTTCTTAAATCAAGAAGGCACATTGAGATGATGTCATAAGTCAAGGAAATTACATGCTCTTCTTTATCCTCTTTGGTACTTGAAGCAGCTTCTGAGCTTTGGCCTTCAACTTCTTTTTCATTCTTTCCTTAAATAAGTAAAAAGTTTATGCTATCAGTTAAAAGATAGTAATTAAATTGAGAGGGAACATTGACATGATGAAACAAGTCAACTTTGTCAAGTTTGGTTAGTAAATTACCATATCCTTCAATCTCTCCTGTTTAATAAGCTCCCTCACAGGTCGATAAGCAGCAGCAATGCACACATTCTATTTATAAGAAATTTTGCGTTGAGTGATGGTGAATGCAAGTTATAAGCAGAGAAAAACAATCATAACATAAAAAAGGAGGGGGAAAAAACCTTGAGATCACTTCCAGTATATCCCTCTGTCAGGAGTGCAAGCTGTTTGAAGTCTAAATTTTCAGTATTTTCCTTAGCTAGGAGAGTTTTCAAGATAATTTCCCTAGCCTCAACTGATGGAAGACCAACCATGATTCTGGTCAACATTGAAAGTTACAAAGGTATCAACAAGAAAAATCATAACTTGTATTTAAACATTGAATTACGCAACAATGTTACTAAGAGAAAAAATTAAAATGAATTTGCCAAGAGATGCTTTAGAAAAGTTTTGAATAGTTACCACTTCCTATGGAAACCGAAACTTAATTATTCACACAAGAAACAATGGATAAAATCGAAGATTCATACAAATAAGGATTGTTACAGATTAAAAGTTTTACTTTTAAGGGTAGGAAAACTATAGAAAATAACAAAAGTATATGTCCTCGATGGAAGCCACTAGCATGCTATGTGCAATATTTTGATTATTTTAAGGCTAAAATGTTAGCTTCATGAAAAATCTTTTTGTTTTTTTATGAGCACCTAACTGCTAATAAAGCTCATGCATGCATTGTTCTTAAGACAAAAATAATAAAATGAATCAGACATGAAAGATGAAGCCATCCATGAAGACAAATACACCTTCGCTCAAACCGTCTTATGATTGCATCATCAAGGTCAAATGGCCTGTTGGTTGCAGCAAGAACTAGAATTCGCTCCCCTTGTTTTGTCAATAGACCATCCCAATGGGTCATGAATTCATTCTTAACCCTCCTTGTAGCCTCATGCTCTCCACATCTTGACCGTCGCCCAAGCAGGCTATCAACCTCATCAATAAAAATAATAGTTGGAGAAACCTTTGCAGCTAGTGAGAACAGAGCTCGGATATTCTTTTCAGCTTCTCCATACCACATTGACATGATGGTAGACATTGAGACATTTATGAAACTTGCTCCCGCTTCCTTTGCAATTGCCTTTGCAAGCATTGTTTTTCCAGTACCTGGTGGCCCAAACAACAATATACCTCGGCAAGGCTTAAGAAGTCCACTTTTGAAGAGGTCTGGTCTTCGAAGAGGAAGCATGACTAGCTCTTGGAGTGATTCCTTAACCTCCTCTAATGCACCAATATCCGAGAATGTAACTCCTATCTCATTTGCGGGGACTAGTTCTGATCTTATGTTCCTCTCATTTTCATTGTCTGGACGAACGTCCTGCCAGCAGAAAATTAAACCAAAAAAAAATGAAATAATAGAAGGAAGTAACCATGTAAAACATTAGTTAAACACTCCTCTTTTGCATCATTACACTCTCCACTGGCTGAGTCCAATTGTGTAAATTTGGAATATAACCAGTCTTCCATCATCCGTGTAGAGAAGCGAAAGAATTAATTTAGGAAGAGTGTTTCAAAATTTCTAATTTTGGACCTAAAAGTTCAATTGAAAGTTAGCAAGAGTTTTAAGAAAGCTTAAATGGTCTAATGACATAGATAATGAGATTATGTCATTATTTATATAAGACCATTGAAAGAGGAAGAGACTTGGCAAAGATTGCTCAAGCAATTCCAAGAGGCCAACAGAAAGCTAACATTCAAGTAAAGAAAGCTAAACTACAGAGGTAGCATTTACTAATTCTTGCATTTTAGTTATGTTGATTTCTTTCAAACATGCAAATTGCCATGACAATTGTATTGACATGATCATATATTCATGAGATGTTTTTCTTGGACTTATGCCACGGCCATTTGCTATGGCCTTGCTTGTTCATGTATGTTTCAACTTGACTATTTGATTTGCAATGTTTAATGAATTAAGTTGATTAGACAAGCCTAAATGTTTGGAATAGATAAATGCTACTGAGACTCCCCCAAATCTCACTCCCCGATTACTAACGATGTTAGGTTTAAAACAAACAAGAATAATCATGAGCAAGAGTAAGAGGAGAATGCAAAGAGTAAATAGCAAGTTGAGTCACAACAAATGAAATTGTCAAATTAATGGCATTGATTCAAAATCGTGTATAAATTCATCTGTTTGATTTAAATTAGTTCAGAAGTTATATCGTGCATCCTTGATGTACCTAGATTGATAATGCATGAAATGGAGCCCTGGAATTGTCATGGAGCTACATTTAAAGCATGAAAATGTAAAACTGCCCTGATGCAGGATTTTCTGGAGGTCTGTTATTGTTTCATCAAACAGTTTATAGCAAAGGAATTCCTTTGCCTCTGACGATTTTTACTCTTAAACTGGACATCCTAAGCTCTCCAGAAAGTCCAAAATCAAATCATTTGAAGCTCTGCAGCTCAAGTTATGAGTTTTCAAAGTTAAGGATCAGAATGAGACTAAAAACCAGAGCACTTTTAGAAGACAAATAAACTGTACTGACTGGCCCAACCAAAGTCCTATTTCTTATTTTTCATATGTAGACCATTCTTCAAACTTTAAAAGGACACAAGAACCAATTCATGAGGATTTTTCTAGAATTTGTTGTAATTTTTCGAAATTCAGTGACAAATCCTGGAATTACCAAATGAATGTTAACCTGAGAAGAGTGTTGTTAGAGGCTGAGCTTTGAATCTTTACGGGCTTTAATTAACACTCACCTGAACTGTATTACTTCCAATTCCATAATAACGGTTCAGGAGATTTGTCAATTAAAGCCCAAAAAGGTTCAAAGCTCATTTTCTAACTACACGCTTCTTGGGTTACTACTCATTTGGCAATTCAATCCATCCAATCATTTTTTCTTCTTGGAAGTATTCGTGCTGATCCATGTTGCTCCCATTCATGAGAGTGAATGTTAAAAATACCTTCTTTCCACCAGTCTCTTCCTTCTTTCCACTGGCACTACTTTTCTGTTTGCGAAATAGATCCAAACCATGGCACAAACTGTGAATTCCCAAGATTAGTTAGTCACTAGAACATGTTTTCCTTAAACAAATAAGTAACTGGTCCAAATTCTTACCTCTCAGATGATATTACAAGCCTCCCATTCCGATATTCTGGATCCTTCGTATTCATCAAGTAGTAAGATATTGCAGATATCACAATTTCATCAATATATCTGCTTAATGTCTTTGTGTCCTCATGGCTGATTGAATTCAAGTCTTTACATTCAACATCATTTGCTGCCAGTACTTCAGCAATGTGGTTTCTGTTATCTTGAGACTTAATTATTTTCTTGTTCTCTTCCAGTTGGGTTTTCCAATCTTCAAGATCACTCTCATCTTCTGGTGGTTTGATCGGAATGATGTATGGAAATAACGCTGCAAGCCTTTCATCAACTTTTGAACATTTATCCACTTTGCGAGGCGGAGCTAGCCATGGTGGGAGATCTGCTACAATTACACACAACACAACCATTATATTTGTAAATAATTTTATCAATTTAAGAGAGAACAAAGCTTCCCCATTCATTACAAAAACGAAGCTTTCACAATGAAATAGAAACACACACACACATATCACCTTTTGAGCAAATAATTTATTTTTTTAATCGTTCCATTTTCCTTATGTATCTAATCTAAAATAATATTCAGATACAAATTTTGCCTCTCTCACCAGGTTTTTTGGTTTTCTCTGCAATCTTGGAACCAAGTATCAGGACTGGCCCTGAAAGTTCCTCTAGCATTTCTTTAAATAAATTATACAATTGCTCTGATTGAAGGAAAATTTTGTCAGCATCCCTGATGTACAAAATGATGGAACTCTTTTCTGACACAGAAGCCAAGACCTGGAAGAATTTTATTCATCCTGCTAGTTAGCTAGAACTAATTATTGAGAAATTCTCTTTTTTCTTGATGTATGTCAATGCCAAGATTCTATTTAAATGAATAGCAAATGTGAGATAGAAAGAGAAGCCATGATGATGACATTATGACAATACCTTAAAAAGCAGCTGCATAAAGAGTTTTTCATCGACACACAAGCTGCTTTTGTTCTTCAAGGAAGCTGAGAATGAAGATTCAAAGCAATAAGCAAAGAAAACATTTAATTTTATACATAATCAATCATAAAACAGGGCAAAAAATATATTTTCGGTGTAACAAGAATGGAAGAATGGGATAGTTAAATACGCCATTAATTCTTATTACTATAACTAAAGAAGCATAAACAACAGATGGATGGGTTAATTATAGAAATTTGCAGAAGAGGTGAACATTGCATGCATCAGCATTGAAAATGCAGGGTTATTAAAATTAAATTGGACAAGGATAAGTAAGCCCAAAACTTGCAGACCTCAGCAACCTATAGTTCCGGAGATTAGAGTAATGTTAATACGAATCTTACAATGAAAAGAAATATATCAAGAATATATATAACAAGCATATGAACTAAAACAGGAGAACAGAGAAAAATAAAAATGTGTTCAAGTATAACCTGAATTTGCAGGGGATGATTTGGAAGCAGTATTCCCCTGAAGCTTTGAAGTAACCTTGGGACTTCCAGTAGTATTACTGCCTTTGTGAAAAGTGCCTGCATAAAAGTAGTCAATCAAGTCCACTGAAGTTAAGTAAAATTTAGTAAAGTTTAGGAAAAAGTCAAGAACTGAAGGGTATTCACTGACACAAGATCTGCAAATTGAGATCATGAGTCCATGACTATGATTATTGTAATAGCTATGAACATTGAACAAGAATACAACACAACAAACTGCTGAATCAATCATGTTTAAAACAGTCTTGTAAATAAATTTGAAATTACATTGAATTAAGCTTCCTATGAAATGTAATCTAATACCCCGGGGGGGGGGGGA